CAATGTATCGCAACACAGACAAAGAAAAAAAATTGTTTCACTTAATAATTTTGGAAAATGTGCTTAGTATATTGTAAATCTATGCCAAAAATGTTTCACCTATCACAGGCATCAATCTGATTGAGAGAAAGCAGTGATGTAATTAATAACCCCAAGACTTATGTATTGTCAAAAAGCGTTATTTTTGCTGAGGAGGTCCCTACATAGTTTACTATATCATAGTTTCTTGATCTTGAATAGGGAATAAATGGAGGGTTTCAGAGAAAGTCTGTCTTTTCAATAAACGCAGACGAGTCTTTCAATCAAAGTTTTAGAACAATTTTTAAATTGACCAGATTTTTTTTTTTAAATCCTAAACTATGGATATGCATAAAGATATTTGTGAAATTGTAGATTAACGTGTCAAATACTTTTAGAGATAGCATGTTTTTAAAAACTGCAAATAAAAATGAAAAATTTTCCCAAATATAAAAAACAAGCCTGAATTCAAACCCAGGACTTTAAAGCTGTGAGGCAGCAGTGCTGACCACCACAACACTGTGCTGCTCCATGTATACAGTATTTACATAAATATTAAGCATATAAAAATATCTCAGTAAAGGAATAAGTAGGCCTATGCAGTGGGCATAGTATTAGTTTATAAAGCCCTATTCGAAAATTTAAAAAAAACCTCTCAAAGCCAGAAGGGCAAAAAAAGTATTTCTGTGGCATTGTTGTTTTTTCATTGTAGGAAGTGATATCAGTGGTTAGTAAGGTTTCACATTTGTAGCTTGTGCACCAAACAATAACAGATATCGCATATGACTTGCCTTCTGTTGTTGTCAAATACCTTCCTTGAGACATTGCCTGCTTTTACCAACACAAGTGTTGCTGTTTGTATCGCTACTTTAATCTCTCACAGTGCCGTTAAACTCACTCTATGCTTACACAGTGGTAATCATGGATTCATGGCCTCACAGACCACATTGTGCATCGGGCTGCTGTCGGCAGTCTCAAGTAAACACAACAAGTTTATCAGCCATGCAATGTCATGCATAGCACCCCAAATTTGTGTTGTCCTACATTGCATTTTCTCCACTTCTAGATTAATTTAACATCAAACTGAAAGTATAACTCATCTAGTAGTTTCACTGAAGGCCCTGAGGTTTCCGATTTACTGCGAAGGGCAGTGGTTTTCGGTGGATGTTTTTTCTCATCCCGAATGACATCTAAACAATGATTCACATGAGATGACCTACATGTGAAATAAAGAAAACTCTTTTAATGAGGAGACTTGTTCACAGTTAAAACAAATCACTGAGCTATATCCATGAGACTGGACATAGACGTTCAGACAGAGCTTGAAGCTCGGAGTGTTTACTGCTGCCATTAATACTTCAACCACAACACACTAGTGCATACAGTCTCAATCACAGTTGAACCACTGAACCACAGCGTCTGGGTGTTTTCTTTACTCCTGTCACATTTTTCCTCACTGTGAGTTCATTGTTTACTGTAATATAATAATAGAAACAATAGTTAGAAATAAAAAACATGAATCAATCATAGAAACAGCCCAACTTTGACTAGAAGGACGGAGAACTCAATCATGTCTTCAGTGCAGCACAACACAGTAATAATCACATAAAGCATAAAAAATCCAAAACTTAGAGTTGAATTGTTTTATTAAAATTATTATTTATTTTACAAAAACTGAAAAACCCCCACAAATAAACCCTGAATCAACATGCACAACATTTTTTCAAGTGCCCACAGGTGTTACCAATATTAGACAAAATGGCGACTCTACAGATTATAGATATTTTAATACTTACATTTTTAATTTTTTACTTGCTATCTGTTGCAACTGAATCACTAATGATTTCATGATTGTATTGAGGAGTGCAGAATTTATATTTTTTTTCACACAATCCAGTTAGAGAAAATGGATATTTTTGGTAAATGTTTGAACAACACATGTTGAATAAAGTGATTAAATAGATTAAATATCAAGATTTTAAGCTCAGGTTTGGATATTTTTTTTCCTGATGGAACCAAACGTTTCAAATGATACAATCATTGGCTCTCAGAAAGTTGGAAATCTGACGATTCTTTGTGTTTTTACTGTTCATTGCTCTGATTAATTGTGTTATTTTTTTAAAGACAACATTCCCTTTTAACTTGCTGTCAGGCTTTGGGGTTCAAAGGGTTAAACTGAGCACATCTAAATAAAT